AACAGATCCATATTGACCTTCCTGAAATGGTGAAGGGTAGAATTGGGTTTCCAGACCAGGTAAAATACCACAAAGCCACCCACCTCACTAGACCACTGGACTGGGGCACTCAGAAAGACCTTAAACCCTGGATTCAATTAGAACAAGCCCTTCTTGCAACCCCCTCACCAGACCACCCTGGTTAAGCAACCCTTACAGACTTATAGGTAGTCTATCAACATCCACCTTAAAGTAGGGATTGTAAGGTATATTTTCAGGACTACTACTCTTTCCCAGTACGCAGAGTGCAATTATCCCTATCTTGGGATGGTCTCACTGACTCGCAAACCTGCTCAAGAAAAAAATCTTCAGACTGGTTTAATTCTCACCTCATATACATCCTATGGGTAGAGTGGAGCTAGAAACTACCTTTGCAACTGAACTAGACTTCTTGTGCTGTTTTCAACTTAGCTCCTATCTTTGTATCCTACTCGACAACCTTAAATTGACTTGGACCAATATCCCCTTTGAACAATTATGTCTAGACCAGACTCTGTTCTGTAACTCATTATCAATTTTTTATGTCACACTTTTAGGAGACCGAAATCACTGAGAACTCCTGTTCAGAGCTGGGAGAAGAACCTGTGACATTTTTGCAAGCCCAAAAAAGACTGCATAATTCTTTTCACAAACAAGGCCTTGAAAACCTGCAAATATCAAGAAAGTAGATATAAGCTACTTCCACATTGCTACAGGATACCCACAAAACTACTGTATATTTGATCTGTCAGATATCACATAGATATATCTATCCACACGTTTCTCAGTGGTGCTGGCAGTGCCAATCAGCAGAGGGTACCCTCCACCATATCTTTTGGGACTGTGCTACGCTCCAGGATTTTTGGAATTCTGTAAAAAGCACCATTCCCTCCCTCACAGGTATGTCTTCTCAAATAAACCAACAGTCTACGTACTGTTGGTTTATTTGGTTTATTTTTATATAAAGAATATAAAAACTTAACACCTTTTAAATGCAGCAAAGGCTTGCATACCTGCAGTTTGGGTAAAACCAAACCCCCAAACAAGGCACATTGGCTTACCAGAAGAAGAGAGATCCAACAGATGTAAAAACGTAAACTGTAAATTAGAAATCAGGAAGCGAAATATCTGCAAATCTGCATTCCATGTCATCACATAAGGAATAGATGCTGCTTAATTCCCACTAGCTTGGATAGCATGAGATCACTAAAGTACACGCTGCCCCCCTTACACAGCTCATTTCATTTCTCCCTTCACTGCTTGTACCCTTCCCTACTCTCACCCCCGTTCCCAAATCTAACCCAAACAGTTCTCTCACCTTTACCCTCTCCTTTGTCACACACACAGTATACTCCCTCTCTATACTTTAACCCAAAAACAGAAAAACAAAAGAGACACCAGCAGTGGAAACCTGATCTTTATTTTCAATGTGCAAGACATCCACACACAATCGTACAATGTGATATTGTACTGCAAAAGGAAGCTACCCAAACTGGGCTGGATTCTGTGATAACCATAACCGACTTCTGTTCTCTTGTGTATGACTCCATCACTTACCTCTCTACCAGTCTTATGTTCAATGTACCTGCATTCCAGCAAGCCTTCTTTTAATTGCAATGAAAGAGACTTGATGTATATCTTTTCTACAACATATAACTAGACTTGCACAGACAATTCATTTATGTAGTCACTCTCATTAAATAAGTAAATAACTTATTAAACAAAAATGGTGGCCTATTTGTTTTTGCAATGCTCTCAAATTGATTTTGTTTCTAATGACACATCCCCAAGTCAGTGTCTGTGGTATAGGAATGTTCAGATACCAGTATCTGTATCAGTGCAGATACTGGCATTTTCACGAGAACTACCAGGGTTGCAGCGGTTGCAGCTGGGACCGGGCTCTGGCGCTCCACCACTGTCCTGAAATCATTAGTCTGTATTGTTTTAGAAAAACTGTCACATGAAACTAAAGAAAAAGGTATCAGTATTTGGTATCTATGAGGACAAGTAAAATGGTATCGGTATATATATATATATAACAAATAACAAACATATAAACTTATGTACAGTAGCTTCAGCTACATACAATATACCGCGCTGAGCCAATCACGGCGAGCAATGTATTCTATTAATTAATTAATACAAAGCCAGCTTGGATTGGCAGAGGTTGTGTGCATCGCTCACCGTGATTGGCTCAGCGCGGTATACTGTATGTAGCCGAAGCTACCGTACATACAGTATTACCGCACATCCAGCGGGCTGACAGATTAGGGATGTATAGGTATACATTGTATACCCTGCGTATAAGAAGACCCCCGATTTTCGGGGGATGTTTTTAATGTATAAAAATTATACATTAAAACACGGATGCACAAATCCCAGGAACCCCGTAGCCAATGCTCCTTAAAAATGACAGCTGCCTTCTAACTTTTGAGTTTTTCTCTAGTCTAGTCTTTCAATGCAGCTGGAAAAGTATCTGTACATGTACTTGTACCAAGTACGGTACTTGGTATCTGAACATCCCTACTGTGACATGGAAGATAGGGGGGGAGCAAGGCAGTATAGTAAGTCTGACAAAGGTAATTGGGTGTGCCATTGCCTTCCAGATTGAATTCTGACTTGGGTAAAATGGATTTCTTGTTTCTAAAGGAGACCAAGTCAATCCCAACCTAATTCAATTATCAGACAGCAGGAACACGATTTTTATGGCTACCCCAACGTCTTCTTTACATATACATTATATGCTTTGATAACTGTAAGTAAGAATTTACCTGCAGCCAGGGTCAGGAGAAGGCATGTCTCCAAGGATGGCACTTAAAGCTTTCTGCACAAATTGTATTGGAAACATTGCATGACCCAGTGGCGGAACTACCAGGGTCGCAGAGGTCGCGGCTGCGACCGGGCCGTGGAGTTACGCCACTTGGAGGGGGCCTAGGACAGGAGGAAGGGGCCCCTGGTGACTGCTGATTACCAGGATATTTATTATCCCGGTAACCGCTAATATTAGTCGCGGGACCTCTTCCTCCTGTCCTGGGCCCTACATGCTTCACGCTGCTTCCCTCACCTTGTTCCGGGCGCAGCGTGAAGTATCATCCAGCCGGCGCAGCAGCCGATGAGTGGGAAGCGGTGTTATCCCGGCCCACTCATCACACAGAACTGCTGCCGAATAGAGAGCTGCTGCGGACACGAAGGGGGAGACAGGGAGCTGGAACTATGAAGGTGACATGGGGTCCGGGAGCGGGAAGCTGGGGACATGAAAGAGGAGAGTGTTTTTTTTTCCCCCTTGTCTAAATTTTGTTTACAAAAAAAATCTAATTTGTTTCTTCTTGGGGGGGGGGGGGGGCTGGGGGGCCTTCATGGATTCTTGCATCGGGGCCCTGAGGTCACTAGTTACGCCTCTGGCATGACCTATTTTGTATATCTACCTGCACAGCAAAACATTACAGTGATGTGAAAAGCATTATGTGTAGCAATTTCTAACGTTGTTTCAATTTGGTGGTATAAAAGGATTTAGAGAATAGATGAGTCCTGCTGTTCTTCAACATGCTTCAATTATATGGAACGAGTGCAGAATTGGTTACACATGAAGAGGGTATGGATTGCAAGCTTGCATATGTTCATCAAAATAATAATACTGTCTACATTTATCTTATATGTGTTCAGACTTCCATTGTAATGTATAAACATAACCCCATTTGCTTTGTTTTAATCATCCCTACTATTCCTAATGTAAATATTTCCCTTTTCTGATCCAATCCTAAGAACAAGAGTGCTGTTTGCATGGATTGCACCTGTTGGTAACAATGGTAATGCACTTTAGTACCTTAAAGTCAAGTTAAAAGACACAGTTGGACCACCATTATTAAAACAGTTTATTATAAATAGTAAATATTTACTGCACTTTTTACATGAAACATATTTATTGCAGCATCTGTTGCCGGTAATACCAGCTACAACACAGATAAAATTTGACTTCTTCCATCACCTCTAAGACGAAAGTGTAATCTCAGCACTAAGTCTATCCTACGTAAACCCCTAATTCATTACCCATCATTCTTGAAGGAATGTATTTTGCGCTCTACCTCGCTTTACCTGACAAAAAAGAACAAAGAAATAAATAAAACTGTAACTCTTCAACCCCCTGCCAAAGGCTTTTCACTTTGGCTACAAGAAAATCCGTTAATTATTTTTATTGCATACCCATCTAGCAATAAAAGTGGTTCACAGGCCATTTTATCCTACATGTTGTTTGATTTAAGAATGCACATCACCTACATAGCATGAGCAGCAGTTTATATTGCTGACTTTTGGGGATGCGGCATACTAAAACAAAGTACTCCTTTGTTATAAAATGGAGGGGCTAATGCATAAAAAGGAGCAAAGAAAAAAAATGTGATGTTTCATACAGTAATCAATCAGGTTTTAGCACTTTTTTTAAATTGAACTCATGCTTGAATCTGATTGGTTACTATGGGTGACAATTTCACATCCCTTTTTCCAAGTTTTACACATCAGCAATGTTTGGCTACAGTTGTTAAAGTATTCCATGTATCATGTGAAAAGCCATAAACAAACACAAGAGTCCCTGGTTCTGTTACCTTTTTGAAGGCCTATTTAACAATTGTCTAAGCACCTGACATGGCTTTACAAAGACTTCTTGCAACACTGAAGCAACCTGTGGCTTGCCAGATACTGTTGAACTACTGGCATTCTATGTTGGGTTTAAGGTTCAACAACAGCCATCAATCCACAACTTGTTATACCTTCAGCATAGGTAAACATATTTCAGACAAAATGGTGGAATGCCATTTCACTGTGCTAAAAATAGAGCATGTGGTCTTTTCATGTAGAAAAGTGTCAAATAAAGTCCAGAAATTTAAAAAAAAGATGAAATATGTTTACAAATAAAAACAAATTCATTGACAGGAAAACTGAAGTGAGATATGGTATTGCACATTGACTGACAGTCAGGTAACTGATATAATTTAGTCCAAATTTGGTGCTGGATCATCCTTTTGATTTTTTTTAAATGTATTACTCCAAAATGCATCTCAGAGTTCTTAAATGTTGGGTGTTAATTCTAGTTAAGTCTTTATAAACTTTTTTTTCTATTTAGATCAAGCATAAATTTTAAGTGGCTAAATCCACTTCATAATAATTACATGAAAAACTGGAATGTTATCCACACAGTCAATTCAAGCCGCAAAATGACAGCACTTCTTCAAGACAGGGCATCATGTGGCCCAGAGTTTCCTTGTTCCTTGCCCATTTGTGTGGTCATTTGCAACATAAAAGTCTTCGTACCCTAGTCCATCACTGTGCTATTAAACCGGGTAGAAAGTTAAAATTGAATTCCTCCCAACTTGCTCCAAAAACCTTGTCACCATCAGTATTTTTGGCATTGGTTTGGATTCTACGATGGTGTACTGTGTTGAGTAGTTCATCTGGGACTTGGAAAAAGGTGTAACTTGTTATCCAGAGCTGTGTGGATTCATAAACAGTTGGTGACCTCTACCCAAGATGTGGATGCTCGTTTTGTAAGGCCGGATGACACCTTTCAGCAGACACACAAGCTATCCAATTTTGCCCTGAACAGCAATCTGGATGGTGGCATTTCCCATCTTGCACTTCACTTTTAGAGAAGCAGTAATTGTCTTTTTGTTTATTTTGTAGTTGAGCTCCAGTTTAAGCTACAAATTGATGAGAGTATTTATCTTCTCTAAACTTTTGGAGATAACACCATCAGAGGGACAGTCATCCTATGCGATATCTGGTTTCAAATAATGAAAGGCACCTGTGGAAAAGAGAGAAACTTAGATATCAAAACAATTTTGTTCACTAGCCAACCTAAATCATAATTTGACATTGTCATATGTAATACTGGTATATCAAAGAATCGGGCTAATATTTTTATTCCGGGGACAAGTTTGACAAACCCCTCAGAATCTGTGATCATATCCGCTAATGACTGTTGAACTGACTTGATTAAAGACATGTGGTTTTAATACAGGGCATGCCCGTGGTTATTGCATGTCGGGCAAAACCTTCTGTTTTACCTAATGGCGGTCAAGTCTCATGTCTCGGCACGTAATCACCTCAAGATGTCCTTGACATCACTTAAGCAAATAATTATGCAACAGATGTTTTTCAGAGAACAATCAACGAGCACCGGAGACAAAAGAGACTCAGTGAAAAAAGGGCGTCATCAGCCTTCTGTAGGAAGCCACAATGTTTCTTGTTTTGTACATTATCTGATAAAAAGTCAGCTCACTGCATGTGAACACTGCCTGCTGCCTGAATGGGAATAGTTAAAAGTAAAGTTCAAGCTTTGGAGATAATCTATGACCTCACACGTGCAATTCTGAGGATCACTATTAATTTTCAGCTTCTGAGAAATATTTAATGCCAAGTAAACTACTGCATATGCACTATGGACAAGAGTACTATGTACTATGGACAAGAGTATGTGAACACCTGACCATCACACCTATATGACATCCCATTCTAAAACCATGTGTATTAATATGGTGTAGCCCTCCACCCTTTAAAAACAGCCTACATTCTTCTAGGAAGGCTTGCCACAAGATTTTAGGATATGTCTGTGGAAATGTGTATCCATTCATTCAAAAGAGCATTTGTGATGTCAGGTCTTGGTTTTGGAAGAGGAGGCCTGGCTTGTAATTGCTATTTCAATTTATCTGAGAGGTGTGTGGGATTGTGGTCAGAACTCTGTGAAGCCCAATCAAGTTTCACCATACCAAACTTGTCAAAACTGGCTTTGAACACAGGGGGACAGCCATGCTGAAACAGAAAAGAGCCTTCCCCAAACTGTTGGAAGGCCACAATTGTCTAAAATATCTGTATTCTGTAGCAGAAACTGTACCCTTTACTGGAAACACCTAAACTCAGTAATTTGGAGGGTTGTCTATATACATTTGACATATAGTGTACTACACAGATAAATTATAATGTATACTCACTCTGTCCATATTGGCCATACTGATATCCCGTTACAGGCTCCATGCTATATCCTGATGTGCTGTAGGTTGGCGGACAGTATGATTGAGATGTTGATAGGCTATCCAAACTCTTCATGTGCTCTAGTCTCTGGCTACAACTTGCTGATACAGCAGTGGTAGGCTCAAGGCCCCCGGTTAGAGGAGATAGGGCATAATCAGTCTGAGGCTGATGAGGTACTCCACCATGGTTAGTCAGAAGACCCATTACCTAAAGGATAAAAACAAAAACGTTAAGTTACATTTTACATTTTTGCAACTAAATTACTTGGCTAAAAAATATATATAATACATATATGAAAGCACTTTTTTGTATTATATAGTCTCATTCTGTTTTTAATGCTTTATAGAAATCATGCTTTCACACTTGCTGTCTTTAAGTAATACCCTTTAACAGAATAGAGTACCAGCCATAGCATATGTTTCTGGTATAACTTAATGCTATATTCTCTCCAGAAAAAAAAACATAGCATATTTTTACACTGAGTCACATGAACTAAGTAGGATGCATCCATCCTACATATTACATAGGTAACATGTCATAATTAAACAAGCAAAAATATCCTTGCTGAAGGTTATAGGTTGTTATCTATATGTAGCACCACTGAATTGGAATGTAGTGCCTTGCAAAGCTACCTGCATTTAATTAGCATGTATTATAATTTTATTTATCTGCTTATGTCTGTTTAGAAGCTAAAACTGTGGTAGCCCCAGGCTTGATGACCTCTGTATTCTTTTTTTTTTCTGAGCGCCTTGACCTTTTCACCTGAACAGAGAACTAAGCAAAGGTCATGGTCACCTTGGTTTAATCCACCATGCTAAACTAGTGAGTATCTAGTTAACTTTGTTTCCTGTTCCAGACAGGCTCTTGTTTCCAATGTGAAAGACTGCACATCAGTGTTTGCAGAGGCAGACCTTTGTGAAATGCTCTCACACACTTGAAAGTTATCTATTAAGCTTTGGATTGACAGTATCCTTAACCAGGTTGGGCACTGTAACGGATATGTTTTCCTGAGGACTTCCATAATGTAATAAGGATCTATAGCACACTATGAACTATTCCAACCTAGAGCTTGAGCTTCTTAATCTTCCATGGCTTCATTCATGCTCCGTCTAGATGAGTTTCCTGTCACCTTGCAGCTAATGTTTGGTACTATCCACCATATTTTTATATCTTTCTACAATTGGAATATTTTTTTCCACGCCTCATTCCTCCTGCTGCATACAATATAAATTCAATTTAAAAAAACTCCAACAGGTAAAGTAGTCTTGTGGCTAGTGTACTGAAGAGCTAAGGCAGAAGGTCATTCAGCTTGCCATTACCTTCCACATATACAAATATCTGATTCGGATTGACATACTCTTCAAAAACGTACTTTAAAGTGCATTTAGCCCTGGGGAATGGGGGTATTGCTAAACGTGATAGGTTGCTATGGACTACAAAGATTCTAAATTAATCTGTTTCAGTCCCCTTTTATACATAGGATTAGTTTTACTGGGTGAAGGGGTGAAGTAAATAAAGGTGACTACAGACTTACTTCAGTAAGAGAAGTGTACAGAATAAAGTATAGTAACCCAGAGAAAACAGTCATACTCCAAACTACTGAAGTCAGCTGATTGAAATATAAAATACTAATTATTACTAATTTGCTGCTATTGGTTATTATACTTTGCACTATTTGTAACTAAGTAGGGCAGCTACAGAATGCACCCAGTGACATTTCCCTGTGTAAGGTATAGTTTCCTTACTAAAAGGGTTAACATTAACTATATGTGTGTAGTTCATATTGACCCTAACACATGTGTAGCGTGTAATTTACGGAAGCTTTCACCACAGGAAGCTGGACACGTTGTCCTGAAGATGTCCAGAGCATTTCTCTATTGTGATGTGAAACAGATGGGGGCCAGATCTCCCAGTTCTAAGAAAAATGGTGCCACCTGCTCTGTGCTATTACCGCTGAGTGGAATGGCTGTGAATTCCTTAACTGTGTTCACACGGGCATGAATCAAACAATGGCAGATTCTATCCCTCATACTTTTATATGAACATCTCCATCATGTGGGTTTAATCAGGCTTATGTCTTCATGGGATTTCTCCAACAATGACTACTTATTGTAAAATGCATCTGCCAGAAAACTGTATATGGGGAATCCCATGATCATGTTTGTGTCTTCTTTTGTATATACATTGGAGTTGACTAACTAAAGTAGAGGCTGGCCTAGTTCACTTAGCAAACCTTCAGCTTTTTTAATAAGCTCATTGAACTTTTACTTTGCTAAGTGCACTGTACTCCTTTAGTAAATTAACTCCTACATATGAACTCGTGGAGTGATCAGTAATTCAGTGGTTCCAGGCCTGTATTTAAAAAAGCAGGGCAAACAGCAATGATGATGTGCAAAGCTCAAACAAATATCAGTATTTTGCTAACCAATGAAGGCATTGTGATTGGTTTCTGTACTACCACACTTTGTGCATTGTACATCCACATCTTTATACAAAAAAAAAACAGAGCTGTGTATCAACCATAGCCAGAGATAGTTACGAATATTGAGCAACACAAGCTAGTCCTATTACAGGAGGAAGCGGCCATTACGTCCTGGACATATTTACAAATCTTACATAGGTACTGTATGTTTATGATTGATGTAAATGCATGTCTACTGTGTATTCTAATCAATCATATGCAACAAGGGTAGGCAAAGAGCTAAATAGTTCTAAAGTATATGTACGAACTGCCTTAACTGCCCATGAATGCCTTGACTACCCAGAGCTCTAAAGATGACAATTGTACTGTATGTCCAACTGTCCTCTAATGTTAGAGACCAAAGGGCACCACCTCCATAGTGAAACATTAACTGTTCATTCCAATGTTGTCACGAATGTCAACTTTTATCATTACTGGTTAGATGGCAACTATACCACATGGATAAAAATGCTATCCACAATGGCAACTAATTTACACAATGAGCAAATAGATAAGTAAAATTGGAGTTGTACAGCTTTGCATTTGCTTTAATATATGCGCACACATTTGTCCAATTAACAGAATTAAATACATTCAATTCATAACATTTGGAGGGCAGAGCGGTGTTGTTTTAATGGCAGTAATTTGCCATTTTTGCCAAAGACCACTTTAATCATTCTTTGAGCTTTTAAAAAGCTTTCAAAAAATAAATAAATACAAAAAAAAATGGTAATGTTCAGTGCTCTGAAGTTAAGTTGCTCCAGTGTGTATACTCTTCTTATCTATGCAGAACTATAATGACACATTCAGAACTTCCCGATCCTTCAAACTTCACAGCCTACCAAACATCCCAGATGCTGATGACTAAACCAGAGGGAACGCTACATCACTTTAATGGTCCCTGCAGGTGGTTTCATTTTATTTCATTGTGAAAATATGAGCTTTCCCAATCCCTGCCTGTCAGACATATTTAAAAGATTTTGTTTTAAAAACCTACATATTCTTTCCTATGAAAAGAGAAAAGCATAGTGTGCTGAAACTCGTGTGATAATTTTGTAGAAGGAATGAAGAGAAGGAATGTGAATGGTTGACGATCCCCAGCTTGTCACTTTTTTAACTAAATTAGCTTAGGTATGTTTACTGCTATTCTGTTCGCATACCTATGTCTGCTCAGGTCTAGTATACACCTCAAACATCAACACATATATATACACACAACTCCTTCTATCACACAACATAATGTACACTACACTGGATTCATAAAATGTGAGCTGATTGTATCCCTAATTAATTAGCCATATAAAGTTGGCCCTATACATTAGGTGGGTGTCACACTTGAAGACACCATTTGACCCCTGAAAGTTTTTCATATTAATATGTACACTAAGATTGCCATTGTTTGCATGTCTATGCCTATGATGCACAGGGAAAACAGCCAGGTAGTTTTGGCAACTGTTTATTGTAGGAAGGGG